GGGGGGGGGGCAAGGCCACTGGAGTTGGCCTTGCCCCCGCCCCCGCTGCTTAGTGGTGATAGTGACAGTGGTGGTGTGGTGGGGGAGTGGGGTCGGGATGCTGTGGGGGGAGGTGAGGCCACCAACGCTGGCCTCAGCCTGCCCTTCCTCCCTTCCATCATCACCGCCTGCAGGGCTCACTTGGTGGCAGTGGGAGGAGGAGTGGGCCTGACATGAGGTGGGAAGGAGTGAGCACACCGTGGCAGCAGTGGTGGAGGAAGGGGAGGAGTGGGTCCAGTCCCGACATAGGTGTGGGGGGGAAAGCAGTGGGCCCAGCCCAATGCAGCAGCACCAGGGGAAGGGGAGAAGCAAGCCTCCTCCCCACCTCAGGCCCACTACTTCCCCGCCTCTCTGCCCCGCGTCAGCCCCAAGCCTGCTCTTCCCATCCCCTTGCCACCTCTGGGTCAGTCTGGGCCCACTGCTCCCCACCTCCACTGTGGCAGCCCAGCTTCTCCCCACCCTCGGCCACAGTCCTCCCCCGCATTGGACCCAGGCCCACTCCTCCCCTCCCCTGCCACTGCAGCAGGGAGCGGGGGAATGGGTCCAGACCCCAAGCAGCAGGAGGGAAGGGGGGAGTGGGCCCAGACAGGAAGGGGGGCACAGGGCTCCATCCCCGCCCGCTTCCCCCCACCTCCCACATCATTCTTGACGGGCAATTGGCTAGTAAAATTATATTTTCAAGAAACTCTCTTGTAAGTTTCATAATGTTGGCCAAAAAATGTTTCTAGAAATGGTTTCCTTTGACTGCACTTAAAGTCTAGGTCAATTTACGGCAAGCATGACACAAGTGGCATGGGAAGCTGCTGTCTGGCAAGCAGCAGGAGAGAAGAGGGAAGGGGAGGAGAGCAGCAGAACAGGGCAGTCAGAGCACAGCAGGGAGGGATAGGGAGCAGAGCAGCACTCATGGAGGGGTTGGGGCTTAAACTGTAGTACACTTGGACTTAGCTTGTGGCCTGCCTGCCAAAAAGGGTGGCCACCACTGTTCTAAGCTATTTGTGCACAAGCTTTGCATAGCAAATATAATTGTTTAAAGCAGTAGCTATAAAGTCTTTGCTGAATTTAGTATAAAGCCTACCCATCACATACAGGGATCTTTGCAATTAAGTTACCACTTCCTAACTGCTGTTGAGAGAAGGGGTTGGATTTTATATACCGAGATGAGTGCTGGAGAAGATAATGAACTAGGATACCATTGTCAACTAGAAATAGCCAGTTATATGTGATATTGGTTTTGCCTTTATAAAAGTTCTGGAACTATGAAACTGAGCATATGAAATGGAATCCCCAAATTATTCAATGTCTAGGTGTGGACAGAGAAAATGCTTATACCAAGGTAATGAGCATCATACCACTTAAAAAAGTAATGGACAGACAACACAAACTTCTACAGCAGATTAACTTAATCCAATCCAGTGAAGAATTACTCCTGAAAGAATCAGGTGTAAAACTCTACTAATATAGATTCCACTAGCTGAGGTTTTGTGTTTATTTCTACCCAAGTCATTTGATAATTGCTACCTAGTGGCTAAATTATTTAATAGCACCTACTACTCGAGAAGAGCTGCATATCTGTCTGTTCTTACTCTCAATGTGTTTTATATCAGTATACAAACCTGATGTAAATTACACTGGGGTATGTGAATGCCTCTCCACATTCTCCATTTTATCACATCAAGGGAGAGCAGCACTGCACTTACTGTGCCCTACAACTGTCCAGAAGAGCTGCCAACAGTATGGAAGATTTACACAAGAGTAGTGGCATAATCCCCAGAACAGATTGCTGAGTAAAGGTCACAATGGAAAATAAACTCAATGAATGATGGAATAATAATTTTTTGTGCAGATTCCAAGCATGACTCTTCTCCACTGACCCTGCTCTTAACCTCTCTGGGTTACTAGCTGGTTGTGTTCTTCTGGGTGATCTAATTCTGTGATCTCTTCTCAGAGGGCATTTTTCAAGCAGTCAACCTTTTAACATTTTAAAAGCCCTGAAAATCTCTGCAGTTGGAAAGAGTCAGCAGAGCAAGTCAATGCCTTTGCAAACCTGGTGAAGCGGCATGCTCCAGGTGCCCCAGCTGCGGCTGTTTTGTTATTCTGTACAGGAGCTCGGCAGGCTCGCTGTCCTGATCTGTGGCAGAGAGCTGCAGGGTTGTGATCTTCTTCACTGAATTTTCATCCAAGACCAAGCCTTTGTTAGCAATGATGTACGGAGGGAGCCTGTCCTCTGAAAGTACCAAGACAAGGGGGTCTGTGATGCAATCAGCTTAACCTCCTTCACACACAGTGTACTTGTATGCATACATGCACACACGCGCGCGCGCGCACGCACGCACACGCACACACACGTACAGCAGCAATTTTCAGAGACAAATAATTTTTTACCTGTTTTGGGCATGAGGATGTAATTCCACATTCAAGTATCACTAATGGAAGCCCAGTGGCAGTCATATCACAATGGGACTGATCCAAAACCCATGAAACCAACGGGAGTCCCTTTGATTTACTTTGATGGGTTTTGTGCTGGCCCTTTATAAATAATAAGCTATTTTTCAAATTGGTGGTTTCACTCTATGCCACCATTTTCAAAAGGTTTCGAATTTTCGATAAACAGAAAGCTAAACACAGTAAATTGCACATGAATACGTACCAGATAAGTGCATAATTTGTTTAAATGCAGAACACAGCACCAGTCCAAATTGGTTGTCTATTGCCTAACTTGTAACAAACATAGGTTATGTGCCTATTGCAAAGCACTCAAACCACTTAAGTCCTTAGTATCTTTCTACCCAAGTGTCTGCTATGTAACTTAATTGTAATCCTATTAATACCATACTATTGGGTGCCAGAAAATGGTGGAGGAAGGTAGCTCTAGGCTCTTCACAAGCCTTGAAATTGAGGGGAGCTAGTCAGTTCTGAAGCTGCTAATATCAAAGCACTGACTGCATTGGACAGGTAGTGAGCATGGCTTACATTGTGTCTAGATAGTCCCAAGGCTATGTATTTAAATGGAGTATGCTGTCATCAAGTTTAACTTCTTTGAATATCTTTTGTCAAAAGCATGATTTCAATCATGTATGGTTATCTTTCTAAAACCTATGCTTTAAAAAAGAACAGAAGCACTGGATTTAATGCAGGAACCACTGGTGGAAATCCATGGTCTGTGTTATGCCAGATAAGGTAAGATTATCAGAATGACCCTTTCTGGTCTTTAAATCTATAGGTGAAAGACTCTGTTTCATTTCCAACAGTCTAACAACCAGTGGCTCTTTTCTACAGCTCCCATGCCAGGGAATTTCTCCTTCACCCACACTTGGGGTCTTTAGGACCTTGTCACATCACTCCTCTTATATCTTTTATGCAAAGGCTGGCACAAGAGTGAGCCTTCCCCTTCCCTATCAATCTATAACCCTTAAGTACACATGTTTAGGTAAACCATCATTTACCCAAGATGCTAATATAGAATGACTGGTCCATCAGTTTGTTGCCTTCTGCATCAATCACATCAAAGTTAAAAGCAAAGCTCCCACCTGGCTCCCCTTTTTCATGACTGTATTCCACTTGCCCTGAAAAGGGAGCAGAGGGGAAGATGTGGTTAAATACAATGTGCATCGTCTGTTGTTGCTACCTATTTTGGAATCTGCCTAGCACCCTTCCCGCTAGCTCTTTAGCAGACCACTGGGTTTGGCACAGCTTCTGGATTGTGTGTTATTTTCCCTTCCCCTTCTCTTTCCCACCTCCTCTTGACACACCCTTTCAGAGATCACCTTACTGAAAAGCAAATCCTCACTGATAGATTTGCCTTACTCTTTTCTCCTTCTGCCTCTTTGGATGCTGACAGAAGTGACATTTGTCATGTGATCAGCCCCCTGAAAGCACTCTACACCAAGCCCTGACAGAAGTGCATGACTGCATGTGATCAGGGCTGGGATGATGCAGCCCAGCCGCACCCCCAGTGGTGTCTGCAGGATGGGAGGAAGAAGGTAGGGGAGGGAGCTCTGGGCTGCGGTTTGCCCAGCCTGAGATGGAGTGGGGGTGGATGGATTGGAGCCCTCCTGCTTTGTGGCCACCCCTCCAGTCCCCTCACCCTCCAGCTCAGGATGGGCAAACCCCAGTACAGAGCTCCCTCCCCTCCCTTCCCATCCTGCAGACAGCATCAGAACTGGGGGCGCAGGGCATGGGGAGAGAGACTGCAGGTAGACAGCCTCTCTCTGTTGGATCAGCTCCAAAGTGGAGCTCGATATCCTCCCCTGCCCCAGCCAAACAGTGAATGTCTGTTGGGTTGGGGGGCAGGAGTCGCTTTAACTCATGGAGCTTTCTGTGAAGGGTCATGACTTAGAGCAGGCAGCTGCATGTCTGTCAGCACCCTTTATCATCATCTCTCCCCAAGGCTATTGTGGATATATTTTTTAAAATATAACTTGCTGCTCAGCTCAGTGGTTAGCTAAAAATATCTTGATCTTGAAGGTGCCAAAGTGACTAAAGAAAAACAAGTCCCACTGAGGGTATATTTACATTACAAATCAAAGGTGTGACCGCAGCTTGTGTAGACCTATCTGAGCTATTATAAACTACTTTGGGTTCTTGGGTATTGATGTGCTAACATGGCCTTCAGCTACAAAAACATGAAGTCCTGAGCTGGTTTGTACAGCCAACAATGAAGCCCATATTGCCATAGTTGGACTGCTATTGGGATATGAATTAGCTAGCTTAAAGCTGTCAAGGCCCATCTCCACAAACAGCAAACACAACTCTGCATTACTGTTCACTGGAAGTCAATGGGACCCATTCCTCCTCCTCTTTGAGACACAAACACAAGATCTACGTAGCCTCAGGTTCAGGCAAGCTGATTTAAAAATAAAGCTCTCAGGAACACTTTTATGGCTTTCTAAGTAACACAGAACTGAGGAAGTCCAGGATCCTAGATCTCACATGTTCCTGTAGCAAGATACTATTTTTAATAATGGTAATCTTAAGTAGTGAATAGCGAGCGTGACTATTTTAGATAAGAGAAATGTGTACAATTCACTGCTCTCAGTTAAAGCAGCTAATAATTGGTGCTATATCTCTTCTGTTAATATAAGCAAAACAAAGCCCTTAGCTGTGAATTCTGTTTTTAAGGGCTTTTGAGGGAAAACAGCTGGCAAAGTCAGTTTTATTCAGCATAAATGAAAGAATCAAGAAACTTGCCCACCTTTATTTATATCGACTTGGGTGAAACTTTTGACAGGTCCCTTGACAGAGATCTGGACCAGGTTATCAATTTTAGTCAGCTGCAGACGCCCACTACTGGGATCTTTCTTCATGACGTATCTGAGCTTCAGGTCATCTGAATCGATATCTGCTGCTTTTAAGTGCTGATCTGTGATGCGTGCTACTGAGCCTAGACAGCAAAAGAAGGCATACAAACAGCTCCCCTCAATCCTCCCATATTGCTTGCCAAGACTCAATTGCATTATTTATAAGTAATGTCCTATACTTGCAAGAATCAGGGATTTTGTATGTGGCCGTTTCAAGGAAATTCTACTAATTTCCCCAAAGGAAAGCAGTGCGGCACCAGGGAAATAGTGGCAGGCTACCCAAATACTGCATCTAGATGCTTAGTTTGGCAAAGCAGCACAAAAATAGACCTTTCCCTGTGCAATGCTAATTTGAATGCCTAAATGGGAGTCTTTTAAAGGAGCCCACGTTTGGCATTTAACCAACAAATGCGACCAAGAGCAGGCCAACTCACTTAAAATTATGCTCCTCATTGAAAGCCATGTTCAACATCTTTATCAGTGACTTGGACAAGGGGTGAAAAGCACCTTGTTCAAATTCGCAGATGACACTAAGATGTGGGGAGAGGTGGGCACGCTAGAAGGGAGGCACAGGCTACAACTAGATCTGGACATGTTACAGGGTTGGGTGGATGAGAACAGGACGGGTTTCAATACTGACAAGTGCAAGGTACTGCACCTAGGGAGAAAGAACCAGCAGCATACCTACAGGCCAGGGAATTCCCTTCTTGTCAGCACACAGACAGAAAAGGATCCTGGAGTCATCACTGATGCCAAAATGAACATGGGCTGCCAACGTGAGGACGTGATCAATAAAGCTAACCGCACCTTGTCATGCATCCACAGATGCATCACAAGCTGGGCCAAGGGAATGATCCTGCCCCTGTATGCGACACTGGTCAGGCCGCAGTTGGAGTACTGCGTTCAGTTCTGGGTGCTGCACTTCAGGAGGGATGAAGACAGCACTGAGAGGGTCCAGAGGAGGGCCACCTGCATGATCGGAGGCAGCAGCGCAGACCCTGTGAGAAGAGGCTGCAGGACCTGAACCTGTTCAGCCTCCACAAGAGAAGGCTGAGAGGGGATCTGGTGGCTGTCTATAAACTTACCGGGGGACCAGTGGGGAATGGGAGAGGACCTGTTCCCCTGAGCACTACCTGGAGAAACTAGGAATAATGGCCATAACTTGAACCAGAGCAGGTTCAGGCTAGACATCAGGAGGCACTACACTTCACTGTCAGGACGGCTAGGATCTGGAACCAACTTCCAAGGGAAGTGGTGCTGGCTCCTACCCTGGGGGTCTTCAAAAGGAGGCTAGATAATCACCTTGCCAGGGTCATTTGACCCCAGTACTCTTTCCTGCCCAAGGCAGGGGGTCAGACTTGATGCTCTGCTCAGGTCCCTTCTGACCCTACCAACTATGTAACTATAAAACTATGAAAAGTTAAGTACGACACAGCCTTCATACCCTTAATTTCCTTTATCCCAAATTCCACCTTCCCCCCCTCAAAGATAGTAATGTCATGGATTTTAATAGGGGATGGAAACCTGTTTTAGAAAACAGAGGTGCTCAGGCAGTCGGCTGGGAAAAAAGATAACATTTTCTGAAGGAAGAAAGGGAATGGGAGGCTCACAGGTTTCCCTCCTGCAGATCTTAGAAAAGTGATTCTCAGCCAGAGTTCCATGACACTGCAGGGTGCCTTGAAATCCTTTTAAGGGTGTCACAGGGTGCCACACAATATTAGCACTGTTATGTGTACAAACGTGATTCACAAGATCAGCCCAGAGATTTCAAATAGGAATCCACTATATTAAAAATGTTCAGACCTGTGTGATCCTTCTGAGTTCTTTGCAACATGAGAACTGCTCTATTATCCTTCTACAGTCAGAAAACAAGTGAAAATTAAAATCTGGCATTTTGTGAGGGGTGTGTTGAGTCTAAAATGATTGAGTATTAGAAGCACCACAGGCAGCACCCCACCCCTAAGCTTTGCTTGAACACACCGTCATTTCTACCTATGTAGAGCTTTGAAGTTTCATTTTAAACAGTGCAGGAAAAAAACTCTTCCCCTGAAGTGTGTCTGTGCCACAGGAATGCTCGGCATTGCTCCCCACTTCTACTAATTCCTCGCCCAACTTTTTTATCTCCATCATGTACTGAATACAGACTATTTCCTTATTGTCCAGACCCCAAGGGCTCTGATGGTTTCAGACAAACCCTGACACTTCTTGATACTCAAAGTTGTATTGTAGTTTAATATTTTTGTACCTCTGGATAGGATAAAAAGCAAGTCTGAAATCCAACAGAGTAGCTCCTATCTTTATTTAACAGAATGACCCTTGCCAGTACGCTTTCACTGCTTTCTCAGTGTAATAAGGGTTCAAGAGTCTCTCCATAGCTGGAAGTTTGGAAAGAAAATGGAGAACAGCAGCAGGGTGATTAAGTGGTTAGATGGAATAGCTTCAAAGGAAACATGAAAACAAATGAGTGAGCTCAATACACTTCTTACACCCGTGTGCATCAAGAGTAGTCCCAGGGATACCACCTGAGTTATACCCATGTAAGATTAATATGAAAGAAGAATGGGGTCCAGTTACATATAACTTAGCTAAATGGAGGTAAATGGGAGAGGATGAAATAACTATATTGTAAGCTGAAAAGGAGAGGAAATATGTCAGGAATTTCCAAAAAGTATAACTAGGAGAAATGAGTGACATTTTCAGAAATGCCAATCAATGCAGAACATCGGAAAAAAATTCTCAAAGATGAGCTCCCTCAGGCTGTAGACGTCTCCTGGGGAGATGGTTGAAAGCACAAATTCTTAAGACATTCAAGTCTAGATCAGGCAATACACTAAGAATATAAAATGCAGGGAGCAAACCTGTACTTGCCACTCAGAGTAAATCTTACGTATCTCCACCCATTTCTAACATCTGATATTCCTTTAACATATAAAACCCAGAAATTTAGGTCTGCAATAAAGGTCTCCTTACTCCCCCTCTCCTACTGGCTCAAAAACATTTGGTTGAGATGTTCAAATCTGGCTTGAAGATTTAAACGCTTGTGCAGCTTTGATTATAATTAAAAGCAGTTGTGCATCTAAATCCCTTGGTTGGCTCTGAAAACCTCACTGGTCATTTTCTACATGGCTTATTCATCTCTACACTCATACCGTACCAGCTGGAAGCTGCAGGCCTCTGTTCACAGCTAATGTAGGCGGCTCATTCTTTGGCCGCTCCATGGAGAACTCCACCCTCCCCATCTCAGTATACAGTCCATCCGTGAGGGAGAATCTGAATTCATCCGACCATGCCTCAGCACCAGCTAGCGTGTAAACAATCAGTTTGTCCAGAACATCTTGGTAGGTAAAGGATGAGCCCTGTGACAGAATGCGCCCATTCTCCAGAGGTTCCAAATAAGACTGTCTCCTGCGCAGGTGACCTGAGGAAGAACAAGCACACTTACAAACAAGCAATGAAACATACCCAGGCAGAGTGGCCCCAGCTCTCCCTTCATCCATTAAGCTCTCACAACTTTCTTTTTAAATAGAAAGATATATGAATGTGGGATGTTCAAAGCTTACTTATCACTTACTTTCAGAAAGAGTCACTTTTTTCCAAGACAGGGATGGCGATTATTAAGGACATAAGGCATGCCATAGCGGGTCAGACCATAGGACCAGTTAGTGCAGTATCCTATATTTCAAAGTGGCAGAAAATGGATGCTAATGGAAACAGCATCCATATGTGCAGGGCCTATCCAGAATGTGCCTATCTGTCTACCATTTCCAGCAATTAGGGGTCTAGGAAGACCTAACTGAATGTTGCACCCCTAACTAACCACTGAAGGGCATAGCCTGCATGAATTTATCCAATCTATTTTTAACCTGGTTAAATTATCGGCATTCAAAACATCCTGCCAAGGACTTACACATATTAATTACACACTGTGTAAAAAAAAACCCCAAACCTTCCTTTTGTTTGATTTAAAAGTGTTACCTAATAATGTTTTTGTATGTTATCTAGTTCTAATGTTATGCATAACAGAAACTAATCAATTCTGTTTGTTTTCTCCATGACATTCATGGTTTTACAAACTTCTATCATATCATATCCTGGTAATTCTGAACCAGATGATCAGCAGCCTTAAAGCTCTTTCTTCATATAGACCTTTAGCTGTGTCCAGAGACAGCTGTTCTTTAGACAGCCTGGCAGGGTGGGTATGCTAAAAGCTTTGACCATGGTTGCTGAAAACTGTAACAGTCTTGTCTCAACTGCATTGACAAAAAATAGTTTTCAGGACTGCCTCCTGGAAAAGGTTTCTGGAGGAGGCAAGTGAACTGTGTCATTTTCTTAAGGCCTATAATGACTACACTTGCACCCACACTGTACCAATGACTATACATTGGCACCCATGTGGATCTGCACTGACCTGGGGAGAAATCCCAGAGGGACCACAGTGGAAAAACCTTGTGTATGGCCTATGATATAATGCCTTCATAAAACAGGCTCCCCCTCTGTAGTCCTCTGCACCTATCTTGGGTCAGGTCCTCTCTTGTCCTGAGAGCTATTAGAATCAGTGATTGCACTCTGGCCCCTGAACCTTGGTGGAAAAGTGGGGAGAAGGAGGCTGGATGGAAAGATGGGGAAAACACCTGTACCCTCCTGCTTTGTGCATTCCTGCTGTAGACAGACTGATCCAACCCCAATTGGCAAAAATGGTCTGGGAAAGTAGATCATTATGAACAATGAATTAAAGGTATCTGGGTGCCATAAGCATAGCCTAGCATTCACTTCCCACACAGTACCAGGTCCATCGGCATAAGAGGATTCAAAAAAGGAAATGCTTACTGCGTAAGGGTTGGTTTTAGCACATAAAACAAATGGTGGCTATATACAGTACCCATGTATAAATGGGCATTTATTGATCTTTTGACAGGGAATGTTTCCCATAGTGAAAACACATCCTAGTATTTTATGCATCACATGTACCAGCTACTGGGTCTGGGAAGGGTTTATTCCAGGCACAGGAAACTCTGGAACTTAAACTGTGTGCGCCCACTCTCCGTGGCTGTTGTCTAGTCCTGGTTTATGAATTCAACAAATAAAAGGAGACAGGTAAAGCTGGCTGCAGGAAGGCTGGGGTTGCCTGAGTTATCCTGATTTGTCTTCCCTTGGGCCAAGAGGGACCTTGTGAGGCCAAGACAAGGGCCTGCGTGCTGTAAGGCCAATTAGTTATTTTGTATTCAGAATGCAAAGCAAGTAGCAGTGATGAGTGTCTGTGGTGGTAAGCCTCACAGACAGTGTCCTCACCTGGCTACTTCCACTGCTGTGAGGCTTCTGCAGCTTCACACCATGAAGGAGTGAGCATCCCAGTGATTTTCTGTAGCTGTAGGGCTATGGAACAAAGTGTTCTGAGAGAGATGGGTTGCAATATTGCTCCTCCTTCCCCTGACAACAGACACTATCTCCTCCCCTGAAGGAATCTGACCACTCTTAGCAACTGGCATGTCACGGATGGTCAAATCCCCCTTGGTTTTGCCAGAGATCTAAGCACTGAACAAAAGCAGGTGACAGGGACACATCAGGCCCCTCTCTTAAAGCAACAGCTATTCCAAAAGTGCTATATCTTACCATGCCTGGGCTTTTGGGTAACAACAAAAACAAGTTCATTATCTGGCGTGTCCAAGTCCTGCAGGCTCAGGGAAGCATTGCTGATCACCACTCCCAAGCTCTCACGCATTCTCACAGGTTCCAGCACCATCTTTGGGGGCTCATCGTTCTGTCGCTACAAAAACACAAAGACTGACAGTCACACAGGAGAAGAGACACTTCCCAGACAGGCAAAAATTGCCCTGAGGATGAAGTTAAAAGGAAATTGCCTCAACTAGAAATCTGCACACTCAACTGATATTACTGTTAAAAGTTTTAAGCAGGTGGCGTTGGTAAATCAGGGGTGTCAAGCTGGACTGGTTTGCAGGCTGGATTGGGACTACACACCAGAACCAGCACAGAGGGCTGGGCCAGTGGGACACTGCATGCAGTGTGCCCCATGCCAGCCCCCAGGACTGCATGCCAGCTTCCAACCCCTGGGGCCAAGTCCAACCCTCCACACTACATGCAGCTCATGCCAGTCCTGCTCTGGGGTTAGCACTACATTAAGTATGAAGGCTGCACCAGGCATTGCATGCAGCATAAAAGGTCTGAGCTGGAGGTTACATGTGGCATCCGCCCTGGACTGGCTCTGGCCACTGGCTCCAGGGCCAATCTGGATCAACTCCCAAGCTGTCTTTGCATGTTGGAACTATTGCACAGGGCCAGTCTGACAGGGCACTGCATACAGCACACACCCCATGTTGGCTCCCTATGCCACATGCAGCGCGAGCCCCAGAGCAGGGCTGAGCCAAGCTACTTGCAGCATGCAGGGCTGGACTGGCTACGCAGGCTGTACAAGTCAAAGGGGGACAGAATGCAATGCTTCGCTAGACTGGCCCTACTGGCTGGCTTCGGGATGCATGGATGGCCTGGGGCCTGATCCAGACCAGCCTGGAGCTAGCACTCAAGCATGGGTCTGACATGGGCACCATGTGCAACACACATCCTGGACTGACCCCTTGTGCTGTGTGCAGTGCCTGTGGTGCCAAGTCCAGCCATGCACCAGATTAGCTCCACACACTTCGTATGGAGCATGGGGTTGATCTGAGACCCACGGGCTGGATCATGGAGAGCTGCGGGCTGGATCCAGGCCAGAGGCCCTAGGTTTGACACCCCTGTTATACATAGTCTCTGAAATATTGGCTAATAATCTGCACACTGAGATGGAGGGAAATCTTTGCCAATCAGTACCTCAGCCATGAGACCTGAGAAAGGGGTAGCAATGCCAATTTGTGCCTCAGCAGTGAGGCAGGGACTGGGTTGTTTCTCACAGTTTCAGTCTCATTCCCAGTTTTCCTGTGCTCCAGGAGAAACATCCTCTATGCTGGCCATCTGGGTACATTTTGTCCCACAGCTCTTTGAAGCTTACCTGCACTGAAGGGTGTTTTGCTAGTGTCTCACAAGGCTGCTTTCTTCCCACCCACTGGGTCCCCTCATGCATGAGAGGAGGTGAGCTGCATTCCTAGGGTCGGGATGGTGAACAAGAGAGAGTAAGGGGCACCTTCTACCCACTTATTCGCCTCTGTGGCCATTCAGAACAGGTCCCAATCTGGCCTAGGGTTAGTGGTAGCACTGTAGAAGCCACCCGCTCTGGGGGGAGGGTTTTGTCATTCCTCAGAATCTGTCTACCTGAATGGTGATGTTGATGCTCCATGTCTCAGGCAGGATGGAGCTGCTGCTCACAGAGAAGCTTAAGAGGTCGTGTGTTGGCTCAACACTTTCATGGACGCTCTGAAAGTAGTACACATGGTTCTCTAGCACATCTTGAATGGGGAATGATGCACCTGAGTCCGCTGTGCCCCCAGGGCCAAAAATAGCACCTGTAAACAAAGCACCGTCTGTGATAGGGCAGTTGTTTCATTGATATTTTTAAAAAAAAATAAGAAAATAATGGAAAGTTATGGCACTCCCAAGGTTTCCTTTCTGTAATTTACTATTAATATATTTAGAGACCCACCCCGAAAGCAGCTTCTGCTGCAGAAAGGAATAGTGTCCTTTTAATTACAGGGTCATCTGGTTCCTGTCCCCTTTTATTAGGCCTGTCTAAAGTGATAATTACTAATTCACCATCTTTCCACAGCACAACCTCCAGACTCAATCACCCTTGAAACTGTTTGGCTGCCAAGCAAATTGTCTATTAAAGACTGATCAGAGATTAGTCTTTTTGAAATACAAGCTTATGTTTGCTCTTTCACAGGACACAAAGAATAAGGATGCAGGGTACTGCATAACAGTCTGCATGGGCCAGAGCTAGTAAGGGAGCTGCTGATATAAACCAAACCGTTTGCCAGAACTTACCACATAGTGGTACCCTACAGAGCATAATTTGTTCCCTGTGCTAAGAACATAAAATAACTGTGGTAGCTGTGTGGTATCATTTAAAATGGTGCCTAAGGTGCTTCATGTGCAGTGCTATGTGACAGCCTGACTTGGTGTGGTGGCTACAATTATCCCAGTATCTTTTCTTGGGTCTACACTCTGAGCAACCTCCAGCCTATTATGTTAGAAAGAAAAAAACCCCGCAGAACAAAACATCACAGCAGCTGAGTGATTTACAGTTCAGCTTCTCTAGCCCCTAGGTCTAATCCTAGGACCACCAATCAATTTTAAAATGTCCTGCCACAATTACAGTTTCCACGGTGGAACCAAATCCCACAACCACTGAAGTTTTACTGATGATACAGAAGCACTGAAAGGAACAGTCCCTAGAAATGAAAGGGTCTGGGGCTTTCCCATTGCTCTGGTCATAAAACAGAGTTGTGAACTAAGACGCAATGGGGAAGGGATTCTGACAAGGAAAGCCCTTCTAAGAGCGCTTGTCCTGAGGCCTTGTTGCAAAAGCTAAGGGCTGGATACTATCTGTAACCTGCACATGCATTGGGGACTTTATGTAGATATGCTCCTGCCTCATGACCTCGGTGACATTATCTCTCATTATCTTCTCCCCATGTCCATGGTAGAAACAGCATAAAAATGTAATGCAGATACAGACTGTATTAATCTCTCTAGAGAGGTTGCTTGTTGCTGGGAAATGCACCTCACACAGGGTTTCCAACAGCAGATGCTGTCTGGGGAGTCTTTGGCAGCTCAGTGCAAAGAAATGGTACTGGTAGGTTCTGGGAGAAGCCAGCTGGGCAGCACACAATCTGTATAAGAAGGTTGCAGTCACTTGATTCCTGAGTTACACACAGATTTAAAGAGACCTGTAACTAGTGGGCAAAACCACTGGGCTCTCTGATATAGGGAACACCTGCCTCTGCCCCTCAGACAGAAGAATTCAGTGGAAACTGTCAGGGAGACTCACAGAGCTTCCTGCTCCTATGCTGTTTTTACCACAATAGGGAAAGATCTGGTCTGGAGTAATGACTTAAGAACTGGGGGCACACACTCATGGTGCCACTGAAAAATAGCCAACCTGGGATGCAGGGCAACAGCTGAACAACCAACAGTGTAATGGAAAGGGTTGCTATAGGCAAAATAATATGAAATGAAGTCGTCCTCTTATGAGCACCTACAGTGCATGAAGGCACATGTCCTAATGAGGAACACCCACAGATAATGGAAGGGACACCTCATAACTCTGAGGCGATATAATTATACACCAAATTCCTCCAGCTAAGCTCTTCCATAGCTTAGCTAGCTTTTAAACTTCATGCAACACTTATTAGATGGATTCAGGAAAGGGTTGCTATGGACAACAAGAACAGCCTGAGTTATGAGAGTAATCGTTAAATATTAAACAACGACTTTGTAAAGGCTCCTGGTCCAGAGCATGAGCCAGCCCTTTACTAATAAGGGTAAGCAGGAAAATTTCTCTGGGGGCATGTTATCTGCCTCTTAAAACCTTTCTCTGATGTAGCTGCAGCTGATCATGTTAGCTCCTTGATGAAATCCCCAACCCCACTTCTGTGTTCCTATTTCCTGATCAAAAGAAAGGGAAAATAGATGCATGTACAATTTACCTGTCTTTGTGTTTTCAATGCACCCATATATGGGTACAGTGATTATTGTAACCACCAGCTCTTGCATGGCTGTATCGTAGTCAGTGGCTAGGAGTTGGTGAATGGACAACGGGACCCTCCCTCCCTCATCAACCTGAAAACCAGGAAAAGGGAAATAAAACTCATGTGCTTTAGAAACAAAGGTAAGTTCCACATTCATTGCTGAATGGATCAAACACTCAGGGTAGGGGAGGGGGCAAGAGGGAAGAGATAATTCATGACACTGGCAGCTTAAGCTTAACCTTTTGCCTATTTCTGCATGAGTCCACTAGCATACAATTGCTATCAGTCTCTAATGGAGCAGGTAGAGAAGTAATTCCTGACATTCCCAGTGACACTGCACTTTTAAGAAGTGCCAACCAAACAAAGTTCAAGGTCTGCCCAATCCAAACAGGTCATGGTTAAGGCATGGAAGCTTCTGCAGGCAACAGCACTCCTGGAGGTAATATGGCAAGAATCACAATCATCCTCCTTTGACCCTCCCAACTCATGCAGCTGGGTGCCCATTTACAGCTGGGTTAACTAGGGGCAGTCTTTAGTATGAGTCTAGAGTGAGGTCTGTACTCATGCCTCTGAATCAATAGCGAAGGGTTTTCACTGCTCTGCCACACACTCCATCTCATGAACGACGCATGTCCCTGGCAGCTGAGGGGCACAGCTGCGCTGGCAGCAGTGGGAGCATGGCAGCGGTGGTAAGTGTGGAGCTCCCACAAATGCTGCTGGCACTGTTGGCAGCGGAGGGCAGGCAGTGCCTTTTTGCAGGGGGTGCACATGTACCCGCATGTACTCCCTATGCATCGCCCCTGCTCCATCTCCCTACCCCTGGAATATAAAACAAACCAAAGAGAAAATTGGGGTAAGGTGAGGGCTTACCTGCCCCTACCAGCTGCCCCATGCTGTTGAGCTAGCATCAATGTAACAGAGTGAAATGAGCAGCAGAGAGTATTCTGGCATGTCACAGTGACCTGGTGGGAGGAGTGACAAGCTGCATCTTTGTTGAGTGAGAAGTTTTTGATAGTGGAAAAAAGGGAGTGGAAAGTTGGGAAGGGAGGTAGGCTACATCAAACGGTTCAGATAAGCATTTTGGAATGCTGTATGTTGATCCAAACCTCCAGATGTTTTCATATTCATCCAGCACTAGCCCTAGTGAAAAAGCCGGACAACTCCTCAACTTTGATGAGTCAGCCTAGCTCTGTTGGCACCAGTGGAGTTATACTGATCTACTTCAGCTGACAAGCTGGGACCACTGGTTACAATGTAAATGAAGACAGGAGATTCAGCGACATGAGAGCACCCTCAATTTCCTCTGGTCATCAAAAAATGTACTAATGCTTTGCATGTGGAAGACACATCTATACTACTAGATGGTAGTTCACCACAGTGTACTGTATCCGGGAAACTTACTGTTCAGGGGTTTAGATCAAGCAAGTTCTCGTTGCCATTTTAAGCACTGGAACCTATTACTTACAGTAATATGATCAGCAAAAGCAATAACTGATGGTCTGTTATGAACAGGTGTGATGGTGATGGTAAACATCTGGCTGTCAAGCTGATTGTTGTCAGCATCGAAGACAGAAAAGTGGAAAATATCAGTGACTGGCTGATCACTGGTCTCAAATGCAGTTGTGTATCTGTGAATGTCAAAAATAGAATTGAGTCACCTATTATATTTAAACACTAAGTTGGAATATCTCTCTTTTCAGTGACGCATTGTTTCAGAGTTTTTTTGTTTTTGTTTTTTTAACTCTCCCACTTATTCAGAATGAGCTCTCTCTCCCCATTTCATTGTGTAAATAGTACTGACCAGGAAAAGGCTGGCCTGAGAGCAATGGTTGGAAGAAACATCCATAAATTTTGTCACATCACACAGCTTAATGCTGATGGGCAATCATGTTCTGATTCCCCAGCTCTTGGGGAACTGAGAAGCAGTGTATGAATGGCTGTTCATGGCATGTTCATGGCAGGTGGAGATTATTGAACAATTACAGTATTGTCCTAAGAGCAATACTACTATTCTTGTGAGAAGTATCATTACATTTTCTTTTCTTCTGAACAGCTGTCCCTGGGCCATATGGACAATAAAAATATGAAGAAGGATTTCCAAACATATTCAGCAGTGGCCAGACTTTGCTTCTCACTGAAGTCAAAAGGGAAACTCCCATCAACCTCAGCACAAAGAGAATTAGATTCATGTTGAGTGCTTTAGAACATTCCACTAAGAATTTTTTATGCAGTGACTTATTTATGTTCTTGAAAGGCGTTCACGTTCAACCTTCATTGTGACAACATTATTCCACAGATGCTCTGATGGTTTTGTTCCCTCGTGTCACTGTTGCAGCTGTGTTTTGTGTATGAATTTGCACACACACTGCCATGAGGATGAGGCTACGTTTGGGTCATAGTTTTATGTCATATAACAGAAGGAGGCTCTGGCTCCTTCTATTAACAACCCAATGACAGGGTGACCTTGTACCCTAACTGGAAAGAAAATCCAGAAAAGAAGTCACCACTATGTGTTACACCAGGTACTCAGCATGGACTATCAGAAACATTTTCTGCTGGAGCATTCTGCTGGATATTATCATTGAGACATTATCAGCAGAGCACAGGAGAGGCAGGACTCTGATGCCACACATGCTTTATGGCTGGAGCAGAGGCAGATCCAGAAAAGTGTGGTGGGTGAGGTCACATCATCCCGTCAGCTGTGCCTCACCCACCACAGTGACCTCATACCCAGTGACCTCAGGCTCATCAGCACATGTACTGCCAGAGATCCGCAAGCAGTGAGCTCTCCAGCTGATCAGCACAGAGCTAAACACATTACGCTCTCTGAGCTCACTGGATGGTTAACATAGGTCCCACCAGAGCTCCACTTGCACAGGGAGCTCTCATAGAGCCTGACAGGCCTTGTGCTGATCAGCTGGTGAGCTCAGAGAGCTCAGCACATGTGCACTGCACAACCAAACAGGTGTGGTGGCACTCAACCCCCTCACTCCCAATCCTGGATCTATAGAAAAGCTATTCTTTTATATCATTAGTTTTGATACTAACTAAAAAAGCAGCATGTCAACAAAAATATATAGTGATTTTGAAGCAGTGCAAGTTAACTTGCATTTTGTAAGCACAAAAGAACCCAATTTGATATACATAGTCACTGCCATTTTTAATATTATAAGATACAACCATATAGTTAGGAGTGGCAATCCTGGTACAGGATTATAAACACTGCATGTCCCAACATTAGTATCACACACTCCCTTGCAGATGGCGCAGACAGCCTGAATGTGCCCAATAAAAAGGTGGTCTGGTAAAAAAATGAGTTTGTTACCTGATCTTCTGATTGTTGATATCTTCCATTGTGAAATTATAAACCTCTGCAAGCTCCCCATTATACAATCCAGAGGCCCGTAAAAGGGTGCCATACACAGGCAGAGATATTAATTGAATTGTGATCTCTGAGTCGGGAGAATTATTATCCTAACATGAAAAATAAACCAAACAGCATAATTAGCTTTTGTTTCCCTACATTGGGCATGGAAGAAAATAAGGCAGATGAA